TATCTGTGCATCTGGTATACAAAACTGTCACAGTAATAGGAATAGGTTGAACAGCAATTTCAGAAGGATGAAAGTACACAAACCAACAAACACTGGCCCCTTTGAGGAAGTGAGAAGAATGCACCACCCACTTACTCAGCTTCCATGGCTTCATATGGAAAAGATGGCAAAGGCAATCCTTGTGCTCCTCTGCTATGGAAAAATGAGATAAGCATTGTGATGCTTCAATAATTTTAAAAACCATGGAGCAGGAACAATGTTTCACAATATCTTCTAATGTTTACCTGTTAATCTGTGAACAGAAGTCAGAAAATTGGGTGGGGTTTGGTTTTTTTTTAATGAGTTCTTTCACCTAGAGGTTACCAGGATTCAAAACAAAGCTTGCAGGGAATGCTGCTCATGTCCACAAGGATGAAGGCACAGAAGTCTGTAAAACAGTGAGATGCTGCCATTTATTAAGGTAAGAAAGGAGGGAATGGGGCATCCGAGCTGTCTCCCTGGAGTCTGTGGACGGTCAGAACAGATTTTAACGTCTTTGCCTCCAATATTTATGCTGTTTCGAGACAGGATCAATAGCCCATGACGCCTGTCCTTTCAGGCTGCAAGTTTTCCTTTGACAGCACGCAATAAAAGCTGCAAAACTTCTTAATAGCATTCCTCCTCCCCAGCTCCACCAAGCACGGCGGCGTCAAGACACGCCGTTGTTCCAGCCAGCCGTTCCCATGTCATATTCTCCTGCCTCCTGAAGGCAGCCTGTGAAGTCTAAAAAAGCATCATGTGGGTTGTCACACTTCAGAACCCCCTAAATAACTCCGTGTGGCTCCATCAGATAAGCGGGGAAGCACAATATTATGAACGTCAAGCAAGAGCTCGTCATTAGAGCTGACAAAGCTGTGCCTCTGAGAGGAGACGTGAACTCAGTTCTGCAGATTAAATATGTATATTTAGTGGCGTGGAGTTCAGAGAACTCTGCAAGTAGGGTTTGTATTTGCCCAGCTATTGCTCTGTAAAGTACCTCCTCCAACTCGGTCTCTGAGAAAGGAAACCAGTCACAGAGCAGTTTGGAAGGGCGGTCAGAATTCTCCACCAGCACAACCCAGGCCAAAAGGAACCCAAGACTCAAAATCCAGCCTGTGTGGAGGCTCCCAGCTCTACCAGGACGTGCTCAGTGTGGTTGCTAAGACAGTGATGCAGAGGAAGCATCTTTCTTGAAGGATGCTACAGACACTACCCCCTCAGGCACTGCCTTAGAGGGGAAATAATACTGGCTTTATTATATAATAGCGTGGGGTTAAATTCCTCCTGGACAAAAACAAACCAGAAAGTGGCGAGGGGTAATAATGGATACAACTTCAAACCACTTCTTGCCCTCTAAAACAAACCTTACTCACACTTGAAGTAAATCCAAGCATTGCTGGCATTTCTTGTTTGCTGCTTATACGTATTTACTCTTGAGTTCAACAGAGGAAAAAAAAAAATCACAATAAAAGCAAAGTTGAATTAAAAATTCGGTCTTTCAGGAGACAGCATTAGGTCTGTCCCAGCCAGAACAGAGCTAATGACAATGAAGACAACTGGTCCCCAACCATGGAAACACACTGTTTCCACTGAACTTGATAATGAGAGGGGAAGCTGGGGAATGGCTGGGCCAGTAAGTGCTGGGCATCTGTTCCACCCAAAACATCAAGAGGAGGACCAGGGTGGGAGTCTATGAGTTACAAACCGAATGGGAGCTTCCCTGGGGGAGCAAAGATTCCGAACAAGCTCAAAATCCCGATGTGAAGCCCACCAAAGCAGGGTTGGACAAGTCAGATGTCCCCTTCCAGCCCATTTCACTCCTTCGAACCAGCTGGGAAAGAGGAACTACTTCATTAGCAGAGATCAAAAGCTGCCTCTGAGTAGCAGCCAGACAAAATTTGGGATCATGTGGGTCACTCAGTGAAAACTTGTGATGTAGCTGGTATCTTTGATGTGATTCTGTTTATTCTAAGGATATACAAAGTCCCGCTTTATTGAGCACGGGGAGAACAAGATACACTTCTCTTGCTTCTCACTGAGCTTTGCTCTTGCCTGTCCTCCTCCTCCTCCTCCTCCTGCACACATGTCCAAAAGATGCTGGACTCTTCTAAGTGCTCACAAGGAATTATGCACGAGTGGCATCTCTCCCTGGACTGTGTGAGCACACTCGTGCACCTGAGCTCTCTCTGTGCAGGACACACACCTGAGCCTCCTTCTCCCTGTGCCCACCCACGGCTGCACCCACACAACAGCTTCACCTGGCAGGAAGGAACCGTTCCACATCCTCATCCTCATCTCGGGTGAAAATTAAAGCCCAGCCAAGCGAGCTTCAGTAATTTTAAAGGCCTCAAATTTCACTACACTCCAGGCAAGCAATATTTTAATTATTTACTGCCCGTAGATTCTCAATCACCCTGGACCAAGGAACTGAATGAAGTCATGACTTTGTTGATGTCAGAGGGAACACACACATCTTCAGCTGGAGGGAAATGGACCCTGATGTTCTTTTCAACACCACCCTCACTTAAAAATAATAGTGGCTTAAACTATTTTCTGTCCTCCACCATATTTTAGTTCTTTCTAGTTCCTACCTTTGTCAGAGGGTGTTTGGGAAATGCAGCTGACCCAGACTGCCAGCTGAACTTGAAAGCAATAATAATAAGCCAAAACAATCATTAAAAAAGCCTATAAAAATCTATGCTGGAATTTCGGTACCTCTGAAATCTCAAAAGTTCAAATCACACCATTTCTACAACATCAAAAATCTTACAGGTTTACGTAACAAAGTGAAAAAACACACATAGTTTTTACCTTTAAGTCTTTGCCAATGAGGTCACTTTTTCCATCGTATCTTTCAATCCTTGGAAGTTGTTGCACTTCTTAATTCCTCCAGATTAAATAAATTCATCATCCTTTATGAAGTAAAAATGTAACTTAAAGTACATTAAGGTGAATCAATAAAAAGGTTGGACTGAACTTTTAGTAAATTTATCAATTAATAGGCAAGCCCAGGAGGCCATCCTGCCTTTCTGCTCTGTCAGCTCAGGGATTTCTTTCTTCCCAACAGTGTTTATGTAAGAGCCACATGGAAAGCAGCAGTCACTATAAAATATTGATCAGCGAGCCATTAGCTGGAATTCAAGAGACAACTATGTCATAGCAAAACCAGAACAAGTACTGCTACTGATTGGAAATTTTTATTACAGATTATTTTGGTATTTGAGTGTGTCAGGAAATAAAAATTTCCTCAAAACAGTATTAGCAAAAACGTGTCATGGCACGGTTAAGGAGAGAAGTAGCATCTTTACAAAGGAAAGGGAAAAAAAGGGCAGGTTTCAGTTTGAGTAACTGTGAGTTTTCTATTATGAATTCTGAAAAACATCATTATGGTTGGAAAAGACCTGTAAGACCACCGAGTCCAGCCTTCGACCCAATACCACCATGCCCACTAAGCCATATCAAGAAATGCCATGTCCGCTTGTTTTTTGAACCCTTCCAGGGGTGGTGACTCCACCACTGCCCTGGGCAGCCCTTCCAATGTTTAACAACCCTTTCTGGAAAGAAATCTCCCCAATATCCAGTGTAAACCTCCCCTGGCATAACTTGAGGTTGTTTCCTTGGAGCAGAGCCTGACTCCCCCCCAACTCCCCCCTCCTGTCAGGGATTGCAGAGCCAGAAGGTCCCCCTGAGCCTCCTTTTCTCCAGGCTGAGCCCCCCCAGCTCCCTCAGCTGCTCCTGCTGCTCCAGCCCCTTCCCAGCTCTCTTCCCTCTCTGGACCCACTCCAGCCCAATATCTTTCTTGCTGAGAGGAGCCCAGAACTGATCCCAGGACCGGAGGGGCCACAATATTACTGGTACAAGCCAGGATGCCTTTGGATTTATTGAATGGAATGGTGTGGTTTTCATAAGAGAAGGGACTCGCTGTTTGGGAAGAGGCGCTGCAGAACGAAGGACTGCTGGAGTGAAGTGCTTTTCTGGGAAAGGCTCACCTGGAAACCAGTAAATGGGACTCAGGGAAGCAGAAGCCACAGCAGGAAGAACTGGGGCTGGAGCTGAGGGGCTGAGTGGGACCAGGTGGGGCAATTTGGGAGCATCACCTGTGAGCAAGGGCGAGGGGTGGAGAGCTGGGAGGGGGAGAGGGAGCTGGAGCACGAGCAGAAACCCCGCGAAGGAGGGACAGCCGCGGGCCATCTGCGAGCAGAGATAATGAAACCGAGGGAGCGGTGCGGGCGAGATAGCGTCAGCCATAAACAAGCGGAGAAAAATAACGCGGCGAGTTTGCAGCGCGGCTCGGGCTGAATTGTTCGGTACAGCGCGTGCTGTCTGCGCACGACAAGTGTCAGCCGGAGGGGAGGGCGGTGGCAGCCCGGGAACCCCGCACCCGGCCCCTCGGCGAGGGCTGTCCCCGCTGAGGGGCCCGCGCGGCTCCCGCCACCCGTCGCTGTCCCGCCGCTCCCTCACGGAGGGTCCCCCCGCCATCGCGCCCGTCCCTCTCTGAGGGGACCGTTCCCCGCGCCCCCCGTGCTGGGGCGGGAAGTGTGGGGGGGGTGTGGGGGGGACGCGCGCTCCCGCCGCACCGCCGCGCCCTATTGGCGAGCGGGGGCGCGCTCCCGCAGCCCCCTCCGCACCCCCCCGCGCCGCGAGGAAGATGGTGGCGGCCGCCTGAGCGCGTCCCAGCGCTCCCCTTCCTCCCCTCTGACAGGCGGGCGGGCGGGCGGAGCGCAGGGGAGCGGCCGCCGCTGCCGTCCCGGCTGGGCGGGCGGTTGAGGGCGGGAGGCGGCCCCTTGTCGGCGGCCGTGAGGGGAGGAAGCGGCGGGGCAGCTGCACCGACATGGAGGAGCGGTCCCCTCCCGGCGGGGGCCCGGCGTCCCCCCCGCGGGGCTGAGCCAGCGGCCCGCCCGCCCCGCGCCTCGGGAGGGCTGCGGGGGAGCGGGGCCAGCGCGGCGGGCGGCGGCAGCCCCGGCCCAGGCGAGGGGACTATGCGGGGCTGGCACGGCGCGCTGTGTGCGGAGCCCGGCGAGCGGCCGAACGCCGCGGCGCTGCCCGGCCGCCCCTCCGCGGCGAGGACCGGGGGAGACTAGAGGCGACTCTGCGAGGAGCCCGGTGGCTTCGGCAGCCCCTGAGACCCAACTCCGTCGCGGGCTCTTGAGGAGGAATTGACAACATGGCTTCCCCACCGCACCAGCAGCTGCTGCATCACCACAGCACCGAGGTGAGCTGCGACTCCAGCGGGGACAGCAACAGCGTGACGGTGAAAATCAACCCCAAGCAGCACCAGGGCTGCTCCTCTTCCAAGCACTGCAAGTACAGCATCTCCTCCAGCTGCAGCTCGGGGGAGTCGGGGGGCACCCGCCGAGCCGGCGGAGCCGGCGGCGGTGGCTCCGGCCTCCGGCGGCCGAAGAAGCTGCCGCAGCTCTTCGAGAGGGCCTCTTCCAAGTGGTGGAACCCCAAGTTCGACTCCAACAATCTGGAGGAGGCTTGCATGGAGAGATGCTTCCCGCAGACCCAGCGCAGGTTTCGCTATGCCCTCTTCTACATCGGCGTGGCCTGCCTGCTCTGGGGCATCTACTTCGGCGTACACATGAGAGAGAAACAGATCGTTTTCATGGTGCCGGCTCTGTGCTTCCTCCTGGTATGTGTAGCTTTTTTTGTGTTCACTTTCACTAAGACCTACGCCCGCCATTACGTCTGGACTTCGCTGATACTCACCCTCCTGGTGTTTGCCCTGACCCTCGCTCCGCAGTTCCAGGCTCTGAAGCCTGTCTCAGGAAGTGGTGACATGTCCAATCGGACTCCCCCGGCAGATCCCACAGACACTTGTCTCTCTCAAGTGGGCAGTTTTTCTATGTGTATCGAAGTGCTCTTGTTGCTTTACACGGTGATGCACTTACCCCTGTATTTAAGCTTGTTTCTGGGACTGTCGTACTCGGTCCTCTTCGAGACCTTTGGTTATCACTTCCGCGACGAGAACTGTTTCGCACCTCTCGGAGCCGGGGTGGTTTACTGGGAGCTCTTGAGCAAAGCCTTCCTGCACATCTGCATCCATGCCATTGGCATTCATTTATTTATCATGTCCGAAGTCAGATCGAGAAGCACATTCCTGAAAGTGGGGCAATCCATCATGCATGGAAAAGACTTGGAAGTGGAAAAAGCCCTGAAAGAGAGGATGATTCATTCTGTTATGCCGAGAATAATAGCCGATGACTTAATGAAGCAGGGCGATGATGAAAGCGAAAACTCCATCAAGCGTCATTCCACCTCAAGCCCCAAAAACAGGAAGAAGAAGCCCTCCATACAGAAAACCCCCATAATATTCCGTCCTTTTAAAATGCAGCAGATAGAGCAAGTGAGCATTTTGTTCGCAGACATCGTCGGCTTCACGAAAATGAGCGCCAACAAATCGGCCCACGCGCTGGTGGGACTCCTGAATGACCTCTTTGGACGCTTCGACCGCCTGTGTGAGGACACCAAATGTGAGAAGATCAGCACTTTGGGGGACTGTTACTACTGCGTGGCCGGCTGCCCCGAGCCCCGGCCGGATCATGCCTACTGCTGCATCGAGATGGGCTTGGGCATGATCAGAGCCATCGAGCAGTTCTGCCAGGAGAAGAAAGAAATGGTGAACATGAGGGTCGGCGTTCACACCGGGACGGTCCTGTGCGGCATTTTGGGAATGAGGAGGTTCAAGTTCGATGTGTGGTCCAACGATGTCAACTTGGCCAATCTGATGGAGCAGCTCGGGGTGGCTGGGAAGGTCCATATTTCAGAAGCTACTGCCAAATATTTGGATGATCGTTATGAAATGGAGGATGGGAAGGTGATTGAGCGCGTTGGGCAGAGCGTGGTAGCTGACCAGTTGAAAGGTACGTGCCTTTAGTTCTTTTGATTTATACTTGTTTTTTCTTTTAGGAGAGAAAATAGTTGCCCCAGCGCCTGCTTTGTGCTTGCTGACTAGCAAATTGAATGTGTTTTCCATGTAACTCCCCGTGCTGGCGATCACAGACACCGTGGTAATTACAGAATAAAAGAGATAAGCGTGAAATATCTGGGGTACTCAGAACAGGCTTTAAGACTCAGCACTCCTTGTGAGAGTCACCTCTTAGGGATGAGAAGGTTCACGTGTTTGATGTCTGCGAGAGGTTTTTGTTTTACTGTTGTGTGTCATCCTTTAACTCAGTAAGTAAACTTGTTAATTGACTCCATGTGCCATACAAAGAGCATATGTGTTTTGCAAAATTATGTATATCTGTGAAAAGGTTTTCCTGGCATCGGGAGAGTTGGGACTGCGAAGGCATTTGGGAAAAATGACAGCTGGATTCACAGAAAGAAATGAGCACTGTAGATTTGGCAGTTTGATATGGCAAGTTGTTGCAGTTCGGAGTTAGGCTGGAAAAAGTTACTCAGGTGGCTCAGTGAGCTGGCAGACGCTCTCCTTTCTGCAGCTCGAAGGATTTGGGGATGAAACTGCAAATTTGCCATTTGGAGGAGAAAATGAGGGATCCTTTGGTTCCCTTTGGCTAAGGGTCTGATTTTCATTTTTCTGCAGTGTTCATTTTGAAGTGAAACCCTTGGCTGCTTTCTGGCAGCACTTGGAGGCACGTGCAGGAGGGTTGTACACGCTGAGGGCTTAATTGTCTTTTGTCAGAGCTCCGGCTCTTCGGTTCTGTGCCTTTGTCTCCCTGAGAGGTGGTTGTCTGCAGTGGGGAGCTCCCCAAAGTGGGGAGCAGAGAGATCAGAATGGGAGTGGAATATGTAACAAACCCTCCTATGCTGTCTCTGTGTGTAAAAGCACCCGTTTTTTTTTTGAAATAAGCACAGAAAAACCGAGTGAAAGAACGCAAAGGAGTCGTAAGACGGGCGTTGTGATGGAGGAAGGAGGTGTTTGTTGCAACAAACACTGAGGAGGCCGGGATGGTTGTGGAAAGGTCAGTGAGTAAGGACGTGGGGAGAGCACTGCAGAGCAGTGGCGGCAGCAGTGGCAGCCGCTCGCCCCTGGCAGGTGCTTGCTTTGCTGTGACACAAAAACTTATTTTTGGTGAGCTGGCTGTCCACAGGCAGATGGCAACGGGGCTGCAGCGGAAGGCTCACGGGGAGCAACGAGATCCACAGTGACATTGGTGGCTGGAAGCCATGGGATTGAAGCAGATGTGTGTCCCTGGGCTTTGGCTTTCTGTTTAGCTTCTAAAAATACAATTTCAGTTAATTTCTTTGAAAATTGTGGACGCTGATGTATTTCACTGGGAGTGTGCTTTCAAGAAAATGGAGATCAGATGTAAGCTCCCTGTTACTCTAAGATGAATTTTGCTGTTCTGCTGAAAATACATTGAATAGGTTGCAGAGAAACATCCCTGTGATATTTCCCTCTTCTGTGTACCTTTGCATCCAGGTGCAGTGTGAAGGCCATTTTGTAGCAACAAATGAAATTCAGTATTTTTGCTGTGTTTATAATTATCCTTATTATTAATCCCAAAATAACATGCACTTAGTTGTGGAGACTGACAGTACTGCTCCTAAATATTCTTATTTATTTGTTTATATTTTCTAGGAGATCACAAGAGCACAGTGTAGAGCAATTATACCCCATGCTAGGAGCGATTTTTCATGGTATTTCTTAGACTTCTGTCCTTGTTTATGTTTGTCATGAGAAGGTACAGACTGCTGTGCCTCCTCAGTACAGTGGTTTGGATTTTGCAGCTCTGAGTGCCTTTCACATCTCCTGCTTCAGCCAGGGCACTCCAGATGGACAAACTGAAATGCAGTCTAGATAAGATGAAGTTTGCTTTGTGGACTGACATTTAATGGTCTCTCCTTACCCTGAAACACAGCTATGAAAGCAGCCCAAGCACGTGTTAAGAATTACTTTAACAAGGAATATGGGTTGGTTTTTTTTTTTTTTTCCCTTCCCCATTTCCCTTCTGTGTTTTGTTGTTGTGGAACTGTAATTAGCTTCCATTTCTTACCAATGTCGTATACAGAAATCAGAATCTGTCTGTAGTTCTAAACCAAGCACACCTCTGCTGTCACCACCTTTATCCACAGATTTGTAGCTCCTTTCCCTCTGATGCCCAAACTTTCAGGGGCACGTGGAGGATGCTGCAGAGCTGCCCATTTCTTCCTGTCTCCTCAGAACTTTGTTCCACAGCCAGATTACTCAGCTGGTAGGTAAATGTCATCAGGGGAAGAAAAAAAAAGCAGTGGTAAAAGCCATGGAAGAGCAGTGCCACAGGCTGGTGTCTGGGACCTGCTGCAGGGGAGGGTTTTGTTAGGGAGCAGCTCTGAGATTTAATAAGGGAGACTGAGATTTCACTTGTTAATTAATTGTTCTCTGCAAGCACCTGCTCGGTTCTGTGAATGGAGGTGCTGTTAGGAAGCTTTGCTTTACTATTTTCCCCGAGAATCTGTTGATAGTAGTGATAGAGAAGAGGAAGTTTGTTGTGGTTGTTTAATTATGTCATACCTCATGCTTTCTTCAAGTATAAAAGCGCTGCGGAGATAACAGACACAGGCTTTGTTTCCCTACTGGTACTTCACTTCTCAGCTTCCTTTCAACCTCTGGTATCTTAATTATATCCTATTTTTTATGTTGTATATCTGGCATATTATCTCTTAATTGTCTGAGCTGCCGCAGCAGTCGTACTGTCTTTGTGAGGCTGAGTCAACAAGAGCAAGTCAACTCTTCCCAGAGCAAACTGGGAGGTGCCGAGGACGCGGTGTCCGTCTTACACCTCGGGATTTCTGCCTGACGCTGCTCCTGGATGGCTCTTGGAACAAAAGCACCTTTGTGGTTGGGGCACATCAGGCGTGCTCCTGGAGCGAGTCCTTTGGCTCGGCTCACCCAGAAGGAATCCAGGTACGGCTCTCCAGTGTGCACCAAAGCAGGGGGAGGAGGAGTGGGTTGGGCAAACTGCTGCAAAGCCCTGCTCCCTGTTCCGCTGGAAATACTCAGGTGGATGTACCCCAGGTTGTCCCGGTGCTGCTCCACTTGTTTATTGGAGTAGACCAGGCAAAACTAAATTTCTCCTCCTGTTTTGTGGTTCGCTGAAATCGTAGGATGGGAATATCTTTTCTTCATCCTTTGCTTCCTTGGCTCCCTAGTGCACGAGTGGGGCCCTGGTATGTCCCCTCCTGCTTCTGACTTTGCAATTAGGTAGATGGTGTCTGAAACAAACCACCAAAGAGCGAGCCAGGGATGCCTTACAATATTTTTGCCTCTTGGATGTGAGGGGAGCACAGGAGAACAGTGTTGCACTGGTTTTTTTGAGGTACACAGATAAACCCCAGCCATCAGTTCAATTATATTTTCCATAACAATTTTACTGTAGGATTTGAGACAATTCACTTTTTTTCTGTTTCCTTGCTGAGCTTCCTAGCTAATAAATTTATTGAAGTCTCATAGCACAGGTTAATGTGTCCCTTCTGAGCCCTGGAGACAGATACCTCCTCTTGGGATATAAAAAGTTCTGCTTATGGAAATATTTTTGTTTTGCTCTGTTCTTCTTGGTTGTTTGCCTTTCTCTTTCTTGTTACTTAGGAGGTCACAATATTGCTATTTACCAGCCAGCAACTCTTCCAGAAATACCAGGGTCACCGGCATCGTGTTTTTTGAGTGCTCAAAATACGTAAGCACGTTGGGGCAGGAATGCTTTCTCTCTGTGTTTATAGAGCACAGCACAGCAGAACCACCATCTCATTTGGGGCCTCTTTGTGTTCCCTGATGCTCTCGATCATTCCTGAACTTTCTGCAGCCAGACATCTTGTGCAGTTTGCCTCGAGGAACGGCCTTATTGCTGTGGTTGTGTTTGGAGCCCTGGGCACGGTATGACCACGCTTTTCTCTCGGGTTTTGTCCCTTATTTTGTTATGGGAAAAATGCCAGGGGATCCTTTTGCTCTCCATCAGCTGGCTGAGCCGTGCCTGGTGGCAGAGGGAAGGTTGACTTTGACAGCACTTACTGCAGGAAAACTCACCTATGGCCACTGGTGGCCCTTCCTGATAGAGGTTATCAAAGATCTCCAGCTTGATGTGTTGTCTTTCACTGTTCTCCACGTTTCCTTTAATTTTAAGCATTTCTTTAGTAAATTAGTTATAAAAGTCACCGGTTTTGCTCCGTACTGAAGCTTTTTACTCCATGAATAGCCTGGCTCTTTGCAGGATGGCAACCTGCGACCCCGTGGGATGCTTTTCCCGTGGCACATGGATACAGCGCTGCTTGGTGGCTTCATACTCTGCTGCTACTTCATGTTTGGGTTTCAGGGAATAGGGCATGGGTGTTCCTGAAAGACAAAAGTCTTGGGTGAGGTTATGAAGAGATAAGTCGTTGAATTTTATTTCTTTTGCTCCCCTCTGCAGCTGATCAGGGGAGACCATGATCACCCCCCGACAGCAGTGAAATCTCCCCTGCCTGCCCTGTTCCTGTGCCCTTTACCAGCCCTGTGCACAGGGGACCTGTGGCTGTCATGTGCTTCTGGAAGTTCATAGGTAGAGGAAAGATCAAATGAAAAGTTTTCCTTGGCTTTTTGGGCCCAGCCTGCTGGGCACAGTGTAAATCTAGAAGGTTTGTGCTTGTGCCAGCAGGATGGCTCTGCAGAGCTCTTCATGGATTCAGCTCTGCTCTGGGGCTGAGAGCAGCAGTCTTTGACTAGGGAGGTTTTGGGGATGAATAAGAGGGGTTAAGGTACTTGTGTCTTGCCAGCTGCTGTGCAGGTCTTTCTGTCCAACCTCTGGTTTCATCATGTTTCATAAATGTAAATCTTAAGTTACCGGCTTTTTACATGGCAGGCATTATAATTCTGGATTTCATGTGTTCTGATACTAATCCAACAGGCAGGAATAGATAGAACAAATGTCCATTTTTTTAAGTGGTA